GCGGTACCCTCAAAAAAGAACCGAGCCACCCCTAGTTCGCTTGCACAAGAGGCAGTTTTTGCAACGACTCCTCCAAAGCCAAACGGGTGTGGCTCAAAATTAAACAGGAGGGGCAAACCGCAGGTGTTGGTCCATGTTTCCACTGACCAGGGCAACCCATTTTGGGGATTCCAGTTTTGCGTGGCTTTTGGTTGGACTTCACGTTCTCTATATCAATGATTTCGGTTAATTCGGACTTGGATCGACTGGGTACCTGGCTTCTTTGTTTTGCGTCCTCAGCCACGCAGCCAGCTTGTTTGCTGCACAACCCTAGACCATGGCGGTTTCAACTTCCTGTGGAGGGCTTGGCCATTGCCAGCAGCCAGGTTCCAGCTTTGTGTGACCATTAGAGACTCTCAGCATTGTTCCAGGGTCAAAACACCTGGCTGCTTGGAGTTTATGTTATATGCATTGTCAGGGAGTTTGACTATTGCCACCATAGTTATCGGCCTTTGATGGGGCTCGTCTCAAACAACCAGTAGGAAGAACATGATTTTTCAATTCCAAGCCGAATGCGATGAGGTTCCTGGGGTGGGTGGGCGGGCGGGAAGGAGGTACTCGTCTGCAAACGCCAGGTGCAGCTCCTGCGTTTTCAGGACACGGACCTCACCTAGGCCGTTGGTTGACAGGGCAGTTGCGTTGCGTCCGCGGATTTAGGAACAAGAAAGGGGGCCTGAGAGAGAGACGGCAAACAATAACATGATTGATACAGTCACGCTTGAAAAATGAGATCACGTGGTGATGCCACAAATGGTTCGCTGCAATTTGTTTGCATTAGCATCAGTAACAGATACCGGTCGTGGCTCATTTGAGCAATGCAGACCACTTACACGTATAAAAGGGCGACAGGAACCCCCACTCGCCAAATCAGCACACGTAAATGAAGGTTGCAAGCTCCAAGTTTCCAAGTGGGGCCTTTGAGAAGTCGATGGATGGAGACTCCAGGCCATGCTTCCTGGCGGGGTGTTTGGTATTGGCTTGTTTTTTCTGCATTGGAAAGAGAGTGAACACAAAGTCCAGCAATATTTGTGGATTGCTTTGCTCCAACCATGAGCACTGCGTGAACCATGGCTTGGTGCCAGGCCAAGAGTGAGCTGCTGAGCTGAGCAAACTGCGCCGTTCAAGATGGAAGTGGGCCGATGGCTACTTGGGCCCCTAGGCTTTTCTTCTTGAAATGGCACCAAAGCTGGCTCCAGAATGGCATCAAACAGCACTCGTTCAAAATGGCCTCAAATAGCCTCATATGGCCCCGCAATGACCCAACATTGCTCCAACATGGTCCAACATGGCCCAAGGTCTTCAGGTGGGCGGGTCCCGTCAAGGATCCTAACGAGGCGAGGCAAAGGCCCTGGCTCCCCGAGTGCTTGAGCAACGTCCGCAATCCTCGCCAGGATTCTGTTTGAGGGTTTGGGGAGAGCATTGTTTGGGGCTTCAATATGGCTCGGGAACGAGGAACATGTCCCATGATTTGTTGTAGCCAATGGGTGGTACAGCTTGAACAAGTTGAACTTCTATCGCGGGTGTTCACGTTTGCGTGGATGGATGGACCATGAAACTCCTTTCATGTAGGTTTCACATGTTGGCACATTAGTGCGACAAAACGTGTCAAACGCCAGATTCCTGAAAGTCGCCCGGAGCAAAGAGCTGGTTCCATTGATGCATATGAATGGAGAGCCAGGAATGCGTGTTGTGTATCTGTCTTTGCGTTGTGTATTTGTGTGTTGTGATGTGTGTTTCTGCATGCTGTTTTTGTTCATCCATGCATGACTTGTCAAACGAAGCGGCAGTCCCATTTCCAGATGGCCAGAGCTTTCGCGGTCCTGGCTGAGTTTGGAGGCCAGTGAAGCGATGCCGCTGCGGATCTCGAGTTGCACGCGAACGTGGTTCAAAATGAGAGACAGTTTGTTTAAAATGGGGGGGGGGGGGGTGGCCTTTTTTGGTTGATATGAGGACTGTTGAACATGAGGCAGTTCAACGCAGCAAAGTGACTCGACTATACAGGGCTCACCTCCAGAATAATTATTATTTTTTGGGCAGACGAACATGGCCCGCTTTATTTTTGGTATCTCCAACAATTTGCGCCAAATATAGTATGGAGTAGACAGTAGACATGTATCGACCATCGACCCCTTGGAAAGGGTTGTTTCCGGTATCCACAAAGCTTGTGGCCAGATGTAAGGCTGTGAGGGCGTGAGACCGACGTGGATGGCCTTAGGGCGGAGATCCCGTGACGAGAAGTCCCAGCTCTTCGCAGAGAAACGAATTGGACAAGAGATGCCCGACGAAATCAAGGGAATGTCTCATGGCGTGCGGCTCGTACACAGTGAGAGCACTTCTGAATTTCCGGAAACATCTGGAGTCCCTTGTGAAAAGAGCAGGGTTTGGCCAGAGTTCTGGCAACGTTTCAAAACGTGCAATACTTAACCTCGCAGATAGCCTGCCTAGCAGTTTTGTCTTGGAAGACCGTGGTTTACTCCAAACAAAGCCTCAACAAGGCCTTATGAGCATCTTGCGTTGAGGGACAGGTTTAAGGGGTGGGCGTCGGATTTGCATGAGTATGGCAATATGTCATATAACATATCAGATATTGGGCTTGAATAGGGTCTGATCTTTCCAAACACGGCCAGAGCTTTTCATTCTTTAAACCTTCAAGTGTTCCCTTAGCCCAGCACTGCAGACGATGTAGAACCATCTTACACACGTTGCCAAAAAAAGGTGCTGCATGCAGGTGTGTTGATTGAGAGATAATCCTAGACCAGGACAGGCCTTACTGAACGGAGACCACTGATCTTGTGTGTAAGCCATTCCCCGCCAAGCATGCCGGCCACTCTCTCTTGTCCGGACGAGCCTGTCCGCGCTGTCGCCAGCATCCCGGTGCGAGCTGAGAATCCAAGCTTCGATCGAACCGCTTCCGTGGCTTTAGCAAAAGCGCCTCTGCAAGCTTGGGCTTTGCGAGAGGCTGTTACTTGGGACAATGAGATGGCAAAGACCTCTTAGGCTTCCTTTCCAGAACCCTCAAGGGATTCATCGCGATCGGGCTGGGCGAAAGATTGCAGAACACCTGTTGGTACATGAGCACCTCTTCAAGGCAGGAGCCTAGCTGGGCTGATACCCTTGGGGGAAGGAAAGACTTTCTTGGGGGGGGGGAGAGAGAGCAGAGTTGCTTCACGTTCCATTTGTTGGAGGATGGTTTCGGAGGGGCTGTTGCGCACGGCACCGATTACTGCCGTCCGCAGGCTGAAGCTGCGGAAAGGGGACATGCTCATTGCGGGCACGGATGGGCTCTTTGACAACGTCGGGGCACGCCACCCCGCTCTGGGGTGACATCTGGGGTAGAAGGGCGTGCTGACATTGCGTGCCACTTGGGTGCTTCAAGTTGCGAGCGAGAGAGGGGCCTACTCTGCGGAACTGCCATGTGTTCAGTGACAGCTGCAATGTTGCTCCCCTGATTTGCTTGGACACCTGGATTGTCTGAAGGGTTTTCGGTTGAGAGCAGGCATCGGGTTTTGGTGCACAGCTGTGCTCTTTTGTTCATAGGGGTCATGGGAGAGGTGTGGCCCCGCTTGTGCCCTGCTTCCTGACATGCTGGATTTGTACTTGCCCCTATGCGAATTCGAGCGGGGGGGGGGGCACAACGCTTCTGGTGTTGTCCAGGGT